GGGGCGACCATATATATATATATACATACTACCCTAAACCCTAAATCCCTAATAGAGTTGGCTCAAAACTTCGAGTTGCCAGCCGGTTCAAGCTAGCTTGGTCAACAAATTGGCTTGCAAAGCCAGCCTGTTCATCGACAAAATATTGCACTTTGGATTTCTCAGCACATATAGTGGTTGCGGAGCCAGTATAGACAGATTTGTATGGAATATATCAAGAAATGAGTGTTCATGCAGGCCTGCGACGGCAGGCGGTGCTTCGTTTTGCCATCCCCTGGGAGGGCCCAATCTTGGACGCCAAAAAAGTGTTTCTGACGTGGGTCATGGCGAAAAAAATTTTGACGTGTTACAGCCATGAGGAAATTTATTTGGACGCGGAGCCTCCAAGAACAGGTCCCCATTATCCCTTGTGATGAAGCAGGTTGGGTACGGATCGACACACTCTTGGAAATGGACGTCCTATGGTGTCATCCAAATCGACTATTGGACAGGCCCGTTGCTCGACGCGACAGAGACGAGCGAAACGACAGCTCAACTATCGATTGCAGTTGTTGTTTGATGGGAACCACATCAACCGTGTGTATGGCCACAAGATTCGATTTCAATTTCTTGGAATCCGATTGGCACAGCCAAGCAACCGAGAAGCCATCGAACACGATGCTCAGCCATGTGAGTCTGGCAACAGCATCAAGAACTTCGGATGAGCTATGGTACATCTCACCTCCTGCAGGAGGACATTGATCTGAGCGATGCATGGGTAATGCCATGGGCTATCAGAGCCACGAGTGGACACTCACGAGACTGAAACACCACCCCCATGGAGATTCATCCCGCAAAGTTCGCATTGTCCATCAGCAACACCCTCGCCAACACGATCAAAGGAGCGTATCACTCTACAGAATACTACAACCTCAAAGCGATCATGGAAGAGGGCATCAAAGCTGGTAGGGATCTCGTCGGGAACCACAGCATGTCCGGTCGGTTGCATAGTCATTGGGGTGTATTCCCGCCTTGGGACGCAAGGAATCGAGTGACACGAAACAGGTCAAGCGTCGACAAGAACATACCGTTGGTCACCACCTATGTTCCGCTCATCGACATCGTTCGTGAAGGAGGAAAAGTGACAGACAGTGGCATCATCATTTGCAGTAAGCCCATCCCTTTCCGACTCGTGAGAGAAGTTTGGATATGTATTCCGAACGTCAACAACCGAAGAAGCTTCGAGATGGTGGAAAAGATCTTGGACTATGAGTTGGAGGATGAGATCTGCTTGGACTATGTCACGTCACCAGTAGCAAGAGAATACCAAAGCTATCGAGAGATTGATGGGGTTGCTTTGTGACATGCCACATGATCCACACGACGCGACCAAGGAGGAAGACGTGGCACGACTTGACAATTACTGCAATGTCAGCTGGAGAGAAACCAATTGGGAGCGGTACAACAAGCTTTACTGGGAGGCCACAGATTTCCTCATCAAGCACACTTTACCGAACAACCAAGCAAGGACCAATCGTGACCATGAACTTCTCTGCCGAATATGTCCTTGGTGATTTGAAACTAACTACTCCAACATGCCTATCCAGATGTGCAACTTGCTTCACTGACTTGATATCTCGCGGAAGATTCCAGAGAACGGCGCGTCAAGAGGAGGCTCTTGTGGAGGTCCCACGCGACGTGATCAATCAACGAGCAAAAGCAGCGGCAGCAGCCAGCGCCAATCCCGTGGACGAGGACGACAGACAAACAGTCGGAACCAGCTCCAGAAATGGAAGACGAGGATGAAACGCCTGAGGTGATCAGTTCTCGTATGCCTGTGCTGATCGATGACACTGACTTCCGCCTGGATCAAGATTTGGCACACGCAAGATCATGCATGCAAGTACCAATCTACGTTCAAGTGGAGGCGGCCTACTCAGCTGATCCAAGGCTTGATGTTGCTGGCTACATGGCATACACCATTGTCAGCTACACGCACAAGAACTGGAAAGGGAACATGAAATGGTTGGATCTACCATTGCAAACAATGCGACAACTCTTCGAAGAAGGGCAAAGGTATGACGTTCTCGGAAAATGGGGGCCAGTATTGTCAGAAGTTGACGAGAACACCGGCATTTATCCCTGACGAAGATATCCTTGCTTACGCAAGAAGTCGCAACGAAGATGAGGATCCAGATGGCACCTACCTGTTCAGAAGATTCAGGACACATCAATTGGTGTCAAAGCTAATGCGGGGAGCAGTACAACCTGCATATCGGAGGGAACACTTCGATCCTCGTGTTCATATGCGTGACGACCAGAATGAAGAGGCGCCACAGATGCAGGCTGCTATGCCCTGTTGACAAAGATCATTGGCAAGGTCACCGGTTACAGCCAATTTACATTGCTGCAACCGATGCATCAGAACACGTACAAGCATTTGTTACGCATTGACCCTTGCGGTATTGTCCTTCATGGTGGACATGGACATTCAGAGGCAGGCCGAGTACGTCGCCAAGCTTACACGCAGCAGAATGCAAGCCCAGCAGTCCAGGAATGCCCCAGCCATCAATCATTTCCCTACAAGCTATCTCCGGGAAGGGCAACGAGGTATCATGGACACACCCGTCAATCACGAGGAAGTAGCCGAAGTCGAAGCAGAACGTCGAGCCAAGGCTGGCACACGACCTCGGAATCCTCCAGAAATTCGAGGGCTTCCTCCTCGGCAGCAACGACAACATGAACGGTGGCAACGCAGTCAGCGAGCTTATCAACGTCGGTCAACGGGATCATCTTCAGGATACCACTACAACAGGGACTACCGTAACTACAATGACCGATGGGATGGACATGGCTGAATGCATCACATTTCGTTCATTTCTCAGTGAAACAGGGGATCGCAATCGACGTAGCTGTGTCTCACGCAGAGTTTACTTGGGCAACTTAAAGACTTAACACACAATGCTACAGACGATTGCCGTCGAGCACTTTCCTTTTCAGGTCCCGCGACTCTCTTCCTATAGCTGAGTAAAGCTGAAAGCTTCACTCATGGGGGGTGCGAAAAGACCTCGAAGCCTAGAGCAATTCTATCATGCAATATACGGTGAGCCTCGCGCTACCGTACCAGTGAGCTATGAGAGACATGTGGGGAGCATTGTGCTGCCACATGATCTATCCAATGATTACTCCGGCGATCGCTTGGCCCAAGTGCCGAAAGCTCAAAAAGCTCAAGGTCTATAGGATCAGCATACGTACACTTGTGTTCCAACTGACAGCCATTGTGTGTTGCCCCCTTGCACAGATACTTCGTCTACCAGTGCGAGAAGTGCCAAAAGTGGACCGAGGGTGCCTGCTTAGGGAACGACAGTCATTATCCAACCGTGTGCGTCACATCACAACTTAAAGCTCGGTGAGGTGAGCGATTATCCAGTATATCTAGTATATCTAGTATATCTACTACATCTAGTATATCTCGTGTACGTAGTATACATAATATATCTAGTATATATCGTATATCTAGTATATATAGTATATATAGTATATATAGTATATATAGTATATATAGTATATATAGTATATATAGTATATATAGTATTTATAGTATATATAGTATATATAGTATATATAGTATATATAGTATATATAGTATATATAGTATATATAGTATATATAGTATATATAGTATATATAGTATATATAGTATATACAGTATATACAGTATATATATATATATAGTAAGTATGTCGCGTTGGCTTCAGGAGGCAACGGGGCCCTGAGTTATGACCTTGCACAGATCCGATGTTCGTTTAGGAGCTGCACCGGTCATGTGTTGGGCCGTCGATGCTTCGGCACGACTGTAGGAGCCCCCTGGCTGACCTGCCAGAAAGCACAAGCCCCGTGGTTTGGGGTCCAGGCCCCCATGGGATTTGCGGGCCGCTCCTGTAAACCTGTGCGGTATTGCATGTTGAACTTAGGCCCAGCCCAATCAAAGTGGGTCCCCGGGCAGCTTCGAGATGTTTCAGATGTTTCAAGTGTCTCCATGGGCCGTCATCCCAGGAATCGGAGGCTTCTTGGCTGTGTCCCGCGAGATGCAGGTGGGGATCATGGAGTTCATGGACCTGCATCCTGTGAGTGCTGGACGGCTTTGGTAAAGACATCGGAGCGGAGCAGCGAGGGATCGCAAGCTCTCAGGTCCTTTGGAGCAAGCCGTACCTCTCGCGGCTGTGGTGCTGCCGATGCAGTTCACAGGGTGGAGAGGAGGGGAAGAATATGAACGTGTAGAGTTCCAAGCGAGGTTAGCTCTGATATGCGTTTGTGCTGAAGTTTCGGTTTAACTTAGGTGCATTTTTGAGCTCGCCGCCTACCGCACTGCCAACCCGAAGGCAAGTTTCAACTCGTCAAACTCTAAGCCAGGCCAAGGACTGGAAATTCTGTTTCATGTTTCATTCAAGCTTCGAAGTTGGATGTCGAGAATGTCGTGCCAAAAGGCATGAACATCTGAATCCGACAGCAACAGACAGGCGAAGGAGGTTTCGTCCTCAACAATCGCAGATCATGTCGCGAGCTCGCATGTCGTCATCACACAGCTACTGCAATTGGAAACTTGCAGGGACTTGCGACACTTGAGTGCTGTGCAGGTTAGCGAGTTCTAGGTCTGGGAGCTGTGCTCTCATCCGCCTGCGCTTGCACAGGGCAAGATCACCCTTGCGCCGCTGTATGTTGAGCAGATTGTGCTTCGGCGGGAAAACATGACCCAGTCCAGGCACCGGAAAGTGCCAGACGCCCGCCTACCTACCCAGTTACCATGCCCGAACCTTGCAGTATGTCAGAGCTCTTCTTAGTTCCGCGGAGTAGCACGTTCGTGCGTGCATGCGTGCATGCTCACGCTTACACAACTTGCACGCTTTCGTCTAATCTAGTTACTCGGCGGTGGATGTGCTGGGGATTTCTGGGGACGTCACCATGACTTGAATGCTAACACTTTGAACTCCAACGGGCCATTGCTAGCCACAGTTTCATGTTCGGCATCATGCGTCGCGTCAATGAACTCCAGAATTGCACGACGGTTGCCGCGAGGTGATGCAACGTCGACTGCTCGTGTTTTTCGTTACTCTCGTCCGTCATAGTTTTCTGGTTGCGCTCGCAAGACACGCTCTGCATCTGTACTTGCTTCTCTTCTGTACAGCCTTCTCGTCTGTCATGTGTTGTTTCAGTCATCAAATCCGCATGCTGTGAGGGAACCTAACTGTGCTGGCCTTCAGTCTCCCGAGCATCGGCCGAAGTAGCTGTTGAACAACTGTAGCTCTGGCAGCCCTCTCGGCGTTAATCCTATGTTCCCGCTGCTGCAGCTTGCAACATCTACGACGTGATGCTCATGTGGCATGTGGCCGAACCGAGGTTGCCGTGATCCTGATCTGTGCCTACGGCATGGCCGCAACCTTTGTGATTGCCCGGGTCCTGATCCAGGATAGGCTGTGACTACTTCGGGACGCAGCCTTATGGTCACGACGCCTTGTTCAAGCCCTTAAGACCCCAGAGAGCCGATGCATGGACAGGATTCAGTTGCGCATGTTTTGCATGTGTCCCCAGCTGTGATGGACAGATTTTCTGGCCCTCAAGAACTCGCAGGAACGTTTTCGTGTGGTGGTCTATGGAGTTGCCGCGCTGCCAGCACCTGGGCTCACGGTCACAGGTCAGTCTTGAGCCCCCGTTGGCAATAATGGCCCTGATGTGAAGGCCTCTTTGCAGCTGCCCACCGTGATGCACGATATAGGGCTTCGAGTTTGAGGGTGATATAGATAGTGTGCAGAAGAGTCTCAATCGAGCAAGATGTGTCGACCTGAAGGCATTGGTGGTCGTTCACATGCTGCGCAAAGTCTTCCAAGACAGGCGATGCGACACTTTCGATCGAGTTAGGGTCTTGAGAGCCAGATTCCTCGCGAACCCTGTCCTGTAGCGAAAGAAAGCAAAGCGCCTCCTGGGACATGGACTCTCCAAGCTTTCCTGTGAAGAGCTGAAGCTTCTGAAAGAAAGGCTGCCGAGCCTTGAAAAGTGATTTGTTACCACATGTCTTAGGAATTTACATGAATTCAATTGCAGTGGGGAGACGAAGGTTAATGCAAGAAGGAGGAAGTCATTATCGCCTCGACCCCAAAATCACTGCAACAGGGTACTAGGTTGGAGCAGTTGCGTAAGTATGCTGGCAGCTAGCTTTCTTTCGAATCATCCGTGCTTGTCCGCGCGGTACGTAGTGTTGAACGTCTGACCTCCAGCAGCCGTTCAGGGACGTGGGGCGCCGCGCCATCGTTTCTTCTTATGATCGGCCATTATATGCTATGACCCTGTCTGAATCCTAAACCGGAGCTTTGTCCACCTACTTACTTTGGAATCCGATTAACTTGTGCCGAAGTACAGGCAAGGTTTGAAAAGCAGCGGTGCATCCGCTGCAACCCTGGCTCCCGGAACCCTTGCTAAACAGTGTGGCGAGATCGCTGCTAACTTTGGAGGCGATCAAATCGGTTCTGAGTTCGACGGAGATTCTTCTGCCAGAGGGCCTCGGGCGCGACGCAAAGTCTCAGCTGTGAAACTTGCTTTTCAACAGATCAACCCTGAGCCCCTTCAGGATTATTGCGCGAGAACAAATGGTTGACTTGGTGAGAGGGTGGTGAGAGCCGCGATGCCTGCTGTAGAAGCGCTCGACAGCTGCATGTAGACGTGGGCCTTTTATCTCAGCGAACACGTGGTTCGAGCATGGATTCCATACTGACGACGAATTCAGCAGTCAACACTTATCCCTGTGCCGTATAGAGCAGCTTACAGTTGGGACTTCGGATTGAAGGCTTTGCTATGCTTTGCTTGCGGGACAGGCAACAACTGGTGTCCGACCTCCACAGCTTCGACTCCCAGAGCAAAGTGGGCAGAGAGGGCAGAGGGCGAAAAGAAGGGGAAAAAGATTGGGTCGATTGGGTTTTGGAGTCGCAGAGCTTTGGGAGTTTCAGACTAGTGGGAGTCCAACTTTGACCGTAAATTAGAAGGACACTTATCATAAAGTCATAAAGATTCCAATACTGCGGACCTGTACTGTCCTGACACTCAAACATTTGGAAACGCAGCTTTCGTGCGTTCAGTCGACACATTGACTCTCACTCTGCCTGTCATTTGAACTCTCGCTCTCACTCTCACGCTGATACTCACTCTGACCCCCACTCTCACTCTACCTTCAACACATCCATCCACTCACTCACTCACTCTCAGATTCTTGCGTCCCTCTTGAACGGCTCGCTCGTACGTGATTTCTCCCACAGTGTTTGCGATGGTTCTGCAATTGTTTGGGCCAGGCTGCCGCAGTCAGTTTGTTTCCACCTTGCTGTCCCAAATCCTCCCGTGCTGTGCATCTCTTTCATTCTGTAGGACTCCTGCACCCTCGCATGTTGCTTTGTGGCTAGTAGTGCGGAGACGGAGTACTGTGCAAACAATACGAACTGGGCCTAGGCTTGCAAAGCTAAGGATCTGGATGCCGTTCGATGTCAAAACGATTTTGATCGCGAGCAGCGGTCCCAGTGCCAATTCTGGAACTTGAGAGGCGTAGGTCCGCAGAGCCCGTCACAGGGCATATGCAGATCACACGGGTCGGTCGAAAGCGAGTTTACTACCATGATGCAAAGTTCGGTGGTGGCTCCAGGTTGATGCTAGCTGCAGTTTTCTAATGCAAGCATTCAATAGACCCACCATAGTATCTCTCAGTGATAGGCTTCGCAAAACCAGCACAAGTTCATCGGGACAGAGGATTGCGTTTGTGTGATCATGGATTTTGCAGAGCTCAGGTTCATCCACACGGCTATCCTCAAGTGGTACGGAAGCACCCCGTACTGATCGAGTCCAGAGTTGCAATGCATCGTGGACACCATGCATGAAATTGAAATCAGTACATGGTGGTGAGAGCGCGCTGCCAGTGGCCGGGCTCGCGAGCCCGAGACTTTCGCGCACGCATCGGACGCCCCACTCGTGCGGCAAATGAAAGTAGAACATCAGCGAAGACAGTCTGCGGCACCCAACTCGTGGCACGCTTGCATCCGAAATGGGCCCCGTAAAATGCAGCATGAGAGAATCGATAAACAGCCACACCAACAACGACGACCACCACCACCACCACCACTACTACTACTACTACTACTACTACTACTACTACCACTGCTACTCCTACTACTACTACTACTACTACTACTACTACTGTTA